GAGATCATGACCTGGCTGAAGTCGGACGCTTAACCGACTGCGCCACCCAGGCGCCCCTTAAGCTATTGTTTTAAAAGTTATTGGGGCGCCTGGGTGGCTCAGTCGGTTAAGCGGCCGACTTCAGCTCAGGTCATGATCTCGCGGTCCGTGAGTTCGAGCCCCACGTCGGGCTCTGTGCTGACTGCTCAGAGCCTGGAGCCTGTTTCAGATTCTGTGTCTCCTTCTCTCTGACCCTCCCCTGTTCATGCTCTGTCTCTCTCTGTCTCAAAAAAATAAATAAACGTTAAAAAAAAAATTTTTTTTTTAAGTTATTAAATCAGGAATGAAAAAGGAGACATCACTGCTGACCTTACAGAAATAAAAAGGATGGTAAGAGAATACTATAACAATTTTAAGCCAACAAATTAGGTAACCTAGGTGAAATGGACAAATTCCTAGAAAGACATAAACCAAAGACTCAGGATGAAACAGAACACATGATCTATAACAAATCATCAAACAACTTCCCACAAAGACAAGCAAACTGAGATGGCTTCACTGGTGAATTCTAACCAGACACATAAGAAAGAATTAATACCAATCCTTCATAAACTCTTCCAAAAAAATAAAAGAGGGAACACTTACAAACTTATTCTATTAGACCAGCATTACTCTGATATCAAAACCTGTCAAAGACGTCATGATAAAACTATACACCCAAAAATAAAACTACACATCAATATCCCTTATGAATAGATGTTAAATTACTCAACAAAATACTAGCAAACTGGATCCAACATTAAGACATTTCAGGGAGGGCTATGGGGAGTTTTCTAAAAATAAAGAAGCTAATTTAATTTACAATAAATAGAAGATCTCAAATTGTCCCCTCTAAAAATTAGCCACTCATTAGATACTCAAAGTCATAAGGCAGCAATGAAATTAAAAATCCACAAACCTGATCGTAAGTTAAAGGAGGCAGATCTTCTCCGCAGACTGTCTTCTGTTCTAAATAGCATTTTTCTTGAAGTGTTTTGTCTCTGGCCAAAAAGAAGCCCATCCAGGCACTCGTAGTTGAAGATGTATGCTGCCCTGCCAAGAGCAGTCCAATAAGCATGCCTGCCACTTCATCATCTGTCAGAGGACGCCCATCCCTACACAGTGAATCACAAACACAAATTTACCATTGTGGCAGACCCATTTCAGGCCTCAACATTTATTTTTTTTATGTTTATGTATTTATTCTGAGAGAGAGAGAGAGAGTGCAAGCGGGGAAGAGAGGCAGAGAGGAGAGGGAGAGAGAATCTTTTTTTTTTTTTTTTTTTATGAAATTTATTGTCAAATTGGTTTCCATACAACACCCAGTGCTCATCCCAAAAGGTGCCCTCCTCAATACCCATCACCCACCCTCTCCTCCCTCCCACCCCCCATCAACCCTTAGTTTGTTCTCAGTTCTCAACAGTCTCTTATGCTTTGGCTCTCTGAGGGAGAGAGAATCTTAAGCAGGAGCAAGCTCCATGCCCAGCGCAGAGCCCAAAAGGGGGCTCTATCCCATGACTGTGAGATCATGACCTGAGCCAAAATCAAGAGTCAGAAGCTTAACCGAGTGAGACACCCAGGTGCCCCTTGTCAACATTTAAATAAAGGGTCATGGTGAATACATTTTTCAGGTATAATAGTCTCTTGCATTTGCCCATCACAAGTGAGAATTTTTCCCCCTTTAGGGAAAAGAGACAGACCAAAGACAAATAGGATTTTGATTACAAAATACTTCCCTGCAGTTTATCAGCAAACTTTTTCCCATGCACAGTCACTTGGGACTTCACTAAGGCATAGGTTCCCAGTATTTTATGTCTCATCCATTGAAAAAGTCCAAGGGTCACAGCTACTAATTCTGTCAGCATCATTACTTTTTAATTGTAATTAACTATGTTGTAATGTGTAATTTCCTGCATTAGCCTGATACATGCTAAAAGAGCTCTTACTTGTAAGTAGAATCTAGTAAAGTTTGGAGAATGTCATCAAGTTTTTCTTCTGACTGTCTGCGTTTCTGGATTGCTTTATAGAAAATATTCTTGATCTCTCGATGAGCTCTGTCCCTGCGTCTGCAATTCAAAGATGAAAATGACTAAAAAGTACTTTCTGGCATCAGTTCATTTTGAAAATAACCTTATTTAACTAACTTGAATAACTCTATAATAATCGACAAAAAATCAGAACCAAGAGGAAAAAAAAAAAAAGGCCATAAAATTCTTATACTGTTAGAAATGTCCAGGGTCCTTAAAGGCAAGAAAGGTGTCTTTACATATGTGACCCTGACTATTAACATACCACCACCTGTGTTCTAATGAAGGTCTAACATAAGACTTGTTATTATTCCTGTAGAATCCATTTCTGGTTTAACAGCAGAATAATCCTTTAAATTAATGAAATTAATTAAAATTCCAATTTTGACCAAATTAATTCTTGAAGAAGATAGTCATTCTGGTTTTTCTGTAGGATTCAGGATTTGAATAAACTTAAGATTTATTTAGGATTATATAAAATCTAGGATTTAGAACATGACTATAGCATATAGGATTTGATTCTTTTTATTTTCTGAGACCACATGTTTTGTAAGGGGCAAAAACACTAGTAGAGTCACAAAACAAACTTCAGCTCCCCAAATCTTACCTTTAAAGTAGGGTACTCATTGGGTAACAGGTACTCTAAGTGTTTTACATGAATTACCCACTTTGACCTCCTGTGAGGTAGATGCTATTATCCTCAATTCACAGGTAACTGCATGAGATCACTAGAGCCAGAAAGCAATGCAGCTGAAATTTAAAACCAGGCAATCTGACTACCTAGCCCCTTTGTAACCAAGCCTTCTAATAAAAATTGCTGCCCTGCTTTGTTTGTAAGACTGTCACTGAGGATCAACTGAGATAATGTGGGCAGAAGAAGTTTACCAAAATGAACACAGCAGTGCCAGGAAAAACATAAGTCCTGTTTAAGAAAAGCAATGGAATAATTTAGTTAAATCAGTTGGTTCAGGTAAGACCGAGAAAGACTGGGCTGAAGTGTGAAAGGTCTATTGTACCAAGCTCAGGAATTTCTGACTTCATCCAGGAGACAGAAGAGGTAAAAACAGACTCGATGCACATTTCTGGAGAATCCATTACAGGCTATGCATGAAAGAATTCTGAAAACTGCCAAGCTCCTTATAAAGTATTACGAGTTCTAAAGAATTCCAGAGAAACCCTCCTGGTTTTCCTTTTTTCTTCCCCTCTTTATCCTGTAACTATGTAGAAGTAGCAGAAGGAAAAGGGAGTACCAACTTAACTCCTCTCCATCTCTCACCTGAACAGCAGTGAATCAACAGGTACAGAGAGCCCACTGATACACAAGCTGTATGTCAAGTCCTATAAGCAGTATTTCTTTGTATCAGATGGTCCCTGCCCTTAAGGAAATCACAGTATAGTTGTAAGAAGACAGAGAAAATTAAAGAAAGCCACTAATGCTTCAAAAGAAAGATATTTCACAATATACTATAAAAACAGTCAAATATTTTCAAATAAGTGCATAGAGGGGTGTATCACCTTCAGATAGAGTTGAGAGACTTTCCTGACTACAAGGAATATGTGCGATAAGTAGGTTTTAAAATATTAGAACAGCTGGACAACAAATCACTGCTTTAATAAACTGAAACTTATCTTCAGTGAGCTCACTATATACAGAAAACCTGTCTTGAATTCTTATAGAAGAATGGGGGCTCATAATCTCCCCTAATTTGTCTCTTTTATTTTTTATCTTTGTTAACATAAAGTATACCGACACTACAGCAGTTCTACAGTGAAATAAACAAGCATAGTTTTTTTTATCCATACCTGAAACTCGGCAAAGGGAGCCAACCTGGTAGCAGCCAGGCTGCATGGCTGAAACCTCCATCCAAATCTGCATACAGTTGTGCCACTTTCTCATTGAGTTGACTTCTGATTTCCTTTCCATGCAAACAATGGCTAGCTGTTAAAATTATGAGCTCAGAAAGAGCTTCAAACAAATCTAGAGGAAAAAAGATCATTCCCGTTCTATTACCAAATATTCTTTTGAAATGTTCTGTTTTCTTAGAGATATGAAAGTATTAAAAAGGAAAATTAAGAACAAAAACCAAAGATCCTTCCTGTTCATATCATCAAAAAAAGCCTACAGACAGACATGTGGACACAACAAAGAGAGGCAAGAAACTCATGATGGGAAGCACTCCCAAGTGGCCAAAACAGGGGCCACAAAGACATCTTTAAACCTCACTCATGACTCAACTTGAAAAGATAAATCGAAGACAAAAACGAATATAGTTGCAGGAGTTCCAGGTCGCAGTGTAACAAAAGCAGCAAAAGGTTATTTAGTGCATCGGAGATGCTTCCCAAAGAACAGCAGTCCAAAGACCAAAGAATGGGTTATTTCCCAGGTCAAAAGCAGGAAAATCAGGACAATTTGAAGTCTTGACCGTATATGAAAGAAAACTGTAACTCATCACCAATTGGTATATCCCAAATTTTAGACCAGTGTAGGCAAGCACGTTTGGATGACATTTAAACGTCCTAAAAATTACCCAGTTGCGCCTTGCTCTTTAATTCCACATGTACCAAATGAACTTCCAGTTATCACCTGGCTTTCCAATGAGATTTGCCAATGAAGTCAGGCAAATTCTGGTGTTCTCAGTGCTATAACTTTGTCTCACTTGTATTCATTAAGTTGGCATTCTAGTTTATACACCAGCTTGTTATATGGTTAGAAACAGATCACATCAACTTTAGGTGTATTAAAAATAAAATCGAGTTTCTGGACCTTTTATAGAAACTGAAGACCATGCCCAGAAAAAACATGGGGACCTAAGAAGAGGTCTTGATGCTCTGTAGGCAGATGTTGCTTCCTGCTTTGGCCATGGCAATTTTCTCTGAAAGGCACACTTATTGTCCCATTTACAGAATGGATTCATACAAATATCCAAAGAATGTCAAATTATACTCAGTATACTCGTACATAATGCAAGAGAGCATATAATACATTTGGTGGTAAAATAAACCTATGTATTTAAATTTACTTTTTTCATGAATTAAATCATTCTCATACAATATTAAATAAATAAGGTATTATATACAAAACTAAATCGCTTAGATTTTTACTTGCCCACTGGGGTGAAAAAAAAAAAGTTATTTTATTGTCTTAAAATGACCTTGCAAAAAGTTTTACAATCAGTTTATTTTAATCTTTAAAAAACGATTTTTATATTATTTGTACAAATGAGCTGAATAACCTGCATGTTAGTTAACCCATTTTAAAAGTTTTGCTAAATGAGTGGTAAAATCACTTTCTCTTGGGTCTTTTTAACTCTATGGTTATCAAAACATATTCTTGCCATTAAATCTAAGGAGGTTTCACAAATGCTGTAGTTTATTTTTTTATACATATCATATATTCTTATGTTTCTAGTCATAAAAAAGTAGAAATATTAGGATAAATGCAAAACCAAAACATTTGCTTACTTTTTTCTCCACTTTCTCCCCAACTTTGAAAGTATTCCTTTGTTTCTTTTTCAATTATAGAAACGTGCTGTCTAAAGTGGGCTATGTTAAGGCCACTTTTTAACATTTTCTTCTGCTCCAAAAACACCTTAAAAATATTAACGGTATAATACCAAGCATTAAAACACAATTTTGTTTTGTCACAAGATTCATTTAGGCTATTATAAGAACTCTGTAACACCCAAAGAAAACAATATTCTGAAAAAAGATTAAAAAACAATAAAAGGATTTTTTTTTTAAACTACATCAGACATGGGAAACTTAGCGCGTTTACATGGATCTGAAGTAATGTGTGGAGAAACACCTGGTGCACGGGCCCTAGACTAACAATAAATTAGGAACCCCACCTCCGCCTTCCTTCCTACATACACATTTTGCCACTCCTCACTCCAGGGCTTACCTTTCCTATCCTGTTATCTTCTGGTATTCCAAACCAACCCAGACACCAACAGCATCTCCCAAAGGTTCATTACACTTTGATATCATTTTTATCCTACTTCACATATTCTCCCATTCTATTCCCAAACAAGTATTGTTCCTTTCACTATCTTCCAGAAGTTTAATTACGATTCAATATAGTCTGACTAAAATAAACTCACCCTAAGACAACCAATGGTTTTAAACCATTGGGACATTTCTATTTTAAGAATCTGATCAGCAGTATGAAAAAAATAGATATATTTGACCACAGGTGTTTTCCAGGGCTCTTGCTTTTGGCCTTGAGGAGCCATTCATTCCCCCACAGCTCCCCCCACCTACCCCCATCCCCAGAAATAACACTTGATGTTGACTCCTAACTGCTGCACTGGGATACTTGGTAACGTGTGGTAGGATCTCAGCCAGAGCCCACACCAAGCAATTGAGCCAATGATCTCATTTGTGTTTTTCGTATCAACTTGCAACACTTTAATATTGGACTTTAGGAGGAGGAAAGAAACCAAACTTCTAAAGCCAACAATCTCTAGCTCAAAACAAGCTCTTATGCTAGAATTTCAGAGGAGTGGGATGGCAGGAGGACCTTCTGATTAAAAAATGGGATTTTCTTGTCACCCAATGGACTCAAATTCCAATGCACTGTTATCATTGGTTGTATTTCTCTGCAGGAAACCATTTAAAATTGCTTAGCCCGTGCCTGCAACTACAAAACAAATACCCATTCTTTGTCAGTTTCCTAGGGGTTTTTGTCTTTTGAATGTCTCATGCTTCAGATTTTTGAACCAAGGAATGAATTGTCTCCACATTTTCCATGTACAATATTACACTACTACCTATAACATTATATTATAGATATGTCTTTCTTGGCGAGAAGAGCATCACCTACTGGATTAGGGACATCATATGCAACTCCCTTCCCAAACACAGGTGTTGTCAGGCGACTGTAGACATCTTCTGCATTCAGGTCTTCATTTTTACTATTAAAAAGCAGTGCAGCAGCATCACTCCCCAGAAGGTAAGTAAATGTCTTGCCCACCATGGTAAAGCTAAATACAGGTCCATACTAAAGAAAGAAAAGCAGCCTTAGTGATGATGCCAAAAAATATGGAGCACTAAAGAAATACTAACCTCTTTACTTTTGAAAATTAAAACGTGCATAAGCCTTAATGCAGTTATTCACCCAGTCTTTGTGCAGATTTATAATTTTATTCATCCAGTTCCAAATGAAATATGAATAAACTTTTCATTTTTTTCAGTTTATACTGAAAATATTTAGTATCCTTTACACAAACATAATTTTAATAATTATTCTTTCATTATTGGACAAATGGGTGATGTGTCAGTTTTTTCACTTCTTATGGATATTTCTGCAATGAGTATCTCTGAGAATATAGATTTTTTTCCCATTGGTTAAAGAAAAGTTTATAGGAGTCACCAAAGGTTATGACCTTTACATTATTATACAAGTTATATAGTATTTGCTGTGTAAAGACATCGGAAGTTTATTTAGTTATCCGTTTTTACTACTATCTCACCAACACTAAATGATTTCATTTTTAATTCTTTGTTAATCTGGTTGAGTGTTAAATGCTTTCCCTTGCAGTTTTCTGATTATTTTGAAGACAAGGCTCTGAGGATATAATTGTGAACAAAAATACTGTTCCAGACTCATGATGCTTAATCTACTGAAAAAGATACCACTTAAAATCAAATAATCACATCAACAAATGTAAAACTGCAAATGTGACAAGTACTACTGGAAGGTAAGTATCTCTGTGATAAAAGAACTGATACAAGGGAGACCAAAGAGAGGAAAGACCACCTGAGCTGAGGCTCCAAGGATGAGGAGGAATTAGCATGGTGGCCAGACATGCACAAAGGTCCTGAAGGAAAGAGTGGAGGAAAGGACAGAGGAGCATAGTCTGCAGAGCCTACACCAGAGTCTCAGAAGCCATATTCAGTTTTTTCCTTACAGGCAATGAAAAGCCATAGAAGATGTTAAACTGCATACGAGAGACACACTGATGTATGCATATTTTAAAAAGAAAGGTCCCTCTGGCTGTTATAGGAAGAAGAGGGAGGGACAAGAACAGAAAGAATACCAGAGGACGAGTTAGAGCCTATTACAGGAAACTGATGATGAAAACTTGCCACATGGTTAATGGTGGGACAATGCCCATAGAAGCAAATGTATACTGAGTTATTCTGGAGAATCTGCAGATGGAAATGGATTAAGAGAGGGAGAGGGAAGTATCAAGAATGAATCATAGGCTTCAGTTCACTGTAAAACAGAACAATGGTGAGAAGAAAGAACAGGACAACCAGGATTGGAGAGAGAAAAACCAAGGGTGAGACTTCAGAAATATTGGATTTCTGATGCCTTTGAGACATCTCAGAAAAGAATCACGTGAGAGGTGAACATCCAGGTCTGGAGCTTATTAATTTGGGTGTCATCCACATATGGCTGGTAACTGAAGCTGCAGGTAGAGAGGAGATCACCTAGGAAAGAATAAAGGCCAAGGACCAAACCAACATGAACCCCAACAGTAAATGGCCAGGCATGAGCCCACGAATGAATTAGAGAAGACACAGTCAGAGAAGCAGGGGGAAAATATGAGAGAAGCCACATTTAAGGAGGAGGGAGTAGTTGTGGTTACCAGTGACAAATACACCTGAGAGGTCAAGTTCATTGAATTAGGAAATGGAGCTCATTAATCAAGGGTGGTATGAAGAGTAAGTAAACAGGAGATGTGGAAACAAAGTAAGTACAGAAAACTTGCTAAAGGGGGAAGGACATGAGAGGAGACTGAGTGGTCAACAGAAGCTCTGGTCCTTTTGACCTTTGAAAAATTTTTCAGAGAACATGGGAAAGATCCAGTTGAAGAAGTCACTATAGAAAGAAGAAAAACAGCATAATGTTCCTGAGACAAAAGATGGATTGAGACTTTAACTTCCAATAGGAAACAAAATAAAAACCAAGGTGACAGCACCTAGTAGCTAGAGCCCAAGATTCTAGAGCCAGACTACCAGGGTTCACATCCAGGGTCCTCCACGTATTAGCTGTTGTGACCTTGCTCCTACAGACAGAGAATTTAACTTCTCTGTACTTCAGTTTCCCTCATCCATAAAATGGAAATAATGACAGTTCCTACTATTATCAAGATTATATATACATATATATATACATACAGATTATATCCATGATGTGTATGTCACATATAAATATATTGTAGAAGAGTATGTGGGCCGTAGTAAACATTACATGTGTTGTATTACTATTATTATTATTAAAAGCATACAGAGTTGGAAATCAGACCATATATAAACCCTGGCTTCACCACTAACCAGCAGGGAGCCCCAAGAGCAAATTATATAACCTGTTTCTCAGTGTTATCATGTATAAAATGTATATACCTGAAAGGAATTTGTGGAGCTTCAGTGAAATAATCTATCTAAAGCACTCAGTATTGGCACAAAGTAAGTGTTTTATAATTAGTGTAACAGGAAGAAAAGAGAATGTATGTTTCAAAGTGGGAGCATGAGAGAGTTCTCTTTGGATGGTTATACATCTCTCTTTAAAGAGGAGACGAAATCATCTGCTTTGATAGGAAGATTCAGAAGTTTAGAAAATGAAGGTCTGAACTGTCAGTGTGGCAAACACAAAGTATGCCAACCATACTTTGGCATGATACGACTGTTGAGCAGTGTTCAAAGCTCATTCAAGGTAGGGAATCATGGAAGCTAGGAAGGAACTTCCTAACTGGTGCAAGAAGAAAATGACTAATAGCCTCCCTCCAAGGTTGGGGTTTTACCATGTAAGTAAAATGAAAAGGAAACGTATGGTATTGGCTAAAGTGTAACTGAAATGGTGGACCATGGTGCCGGACTGGAAAAAGAAGAGAAGTAAAGAGGCTAATAATAGATCAGGAGAAAGTAAATGGGACAATGGACTAGAAGATCTAATGAGGTCAAAGAGTGGTTACAATGGAAGGAACTGTACAGGCAAGCTGGGAAAAGAAGTTATGGTCTCAGAATAAAGTGTCTAAATTTATACTGTGGAAATGAAACCATTAAGAGTGACAACCATTCAAAGTGGGCCTGTGGAATAAATGGTTGAATCAGCACGGGAAAGCTTGTTAGAAGGGCAAAGATCTGAGTGGCCGTGGCATCACCTAAGCAGACAAAACTGAAGTCACAGAAGAGATTTAAGGCAGGTTAGAAAATCCCACAGACGACTGGTTAAGAAAAATAAGGGTCAATCAGTATCAATTTTAACTACGATCAGTAAGTACAAAATTTAGGCTAGTGGTTTTTAGGCCATAGCTGCCAGAACTACAGGTTCCCTCAGGTGATGTTTCGGAGATCACCCAGGACATAGAAGAGATTAAGAGGATCTCCAAGACCCTTCCAGCTCTTAAACAGGAGCGGCTCTAATTTAATCTGTTTCCTACACTGGGGAGAAGCACAAGATCACAAATTTTTTTTAATGTTCTGCCATCTAAAAGAAAGTTTGAAAAGCACTAATTTCTTTTCCTGTAATTATTTGGAAGACTTACCTTCTCATATGCATTTTCTAGGAATTCAATTGGGCTTTTCCCAAATGCTATGGCATGTCCAAGGAATGGAACTGGAGAGAAAATGTATGGTGGACTTTTCTGCAAGAGAAAACAAAATGTGGACTCACATTTCATTCTAAAGGAGAAATCCAGTTTAGGTTCATGACCAAACAAATGAAATAAAAAATAAAGCATCAATAACTTAAGAACAGCTAAACTGCAAATATCTTAGGAGTGGCCATAGTAAACAGAAACTCAGAACGTGATGTAAGATAAATAACTAGACAAACACAAAGGTATTGCAACTGGACATGCTGAACACTGTCCAGAATATTTATTTGTGGTTCTAGGCAACTTTCTTAACCAACAGCAGTGGGGGGGGGAAAAAAAAAAAAAAAAAAAAAAACAGGAAAATCAAACAACAGCATCTTCACCACTACCACTCACAATTTTAGTCCCAGATTCTTTCTATACCTAAAGAAGGTACAGAAAAAGACAAACAGTAACGTGTACAGAAAGTGAAATGTTTAAGAAGCTACATTTATCAGTAAACAAAACACATCTCATCCACTGATTTTAAAGAGAGGGTAGATCAGTCCTAGCAGGTGCTTTAGCACTCACTATAAAAGGCACTTTCATAAAACTTTTAGTTCGTACATTCCACTGTACAAAGGCAGTGGAATGTAAAACTGTAAAACTGTGAAAGGCAGTTTTAAAAGCTACTTGGTGTTGGTTGGTTAAGGATGCATTCATCAAATATATTCGGTAAGTATGAAGCTAATGGTCAATAAAGGCACTAAATTAAAGAAACTGATACTTCATTGGCACAAGAAGTGACAATCCAGTCACTCTTACCCTACCAAACACTCCCCCCTTCAGACTGATATTAAGTCGCCATTAGGGGCGATATCACAGGCCGCAGGACATTGAACCCCACAAGGGCGCAGTCATCAAGACGACCGCCACAGGGACCGAAGCTGCCAGGGGCATCCCATCCCCAGTAGGGACTCCGCCAAAGTCTATAACACCACTATGATCCTGGAGTTCCTGGCCAGCCGGACCCCCAGCACCAAGGCTAGCAAGGTCAAGGCAGTCTCGACCATCAGCAGCAGAGTTGCGGCCACCTCCCAGCCCCCAGTGCGCCCGCTTCCACCGCCCAGCCAAGCATGGCCGTGGTCACCACTCCTGCTAGCCCTTTGGCCGCCTCTGTCGTCGCCTGGCTCGCCCTTCGGCCACAGCGGTCGCTGCGTTCCCCGCCCGGGTCCCCGGGGTGCACTTACCGCCCCGGGCGGCATGGGGGCCAGGTGGCCGACTGCAAGGCGGAACAGGTAGACTAGGCCAAGCGTGAAGGCGCAGGCGATTAGCAGCATGGATAGGAGGTTGCCGCCGGTCACCCTCTCCATCGCCTGCCCCAACACCGACCCGCCCGCCTGCAGTAATCCCAGCAGCAGCATCCTGGCCGCCACAGCATCCACTACAGTTCGCTGGAGACGCTGGAGGCCGAGGTCGCGGCCGCTCCTCCGAATCCACGGAGCGAGAGAAGCCGGCAGATGGGCGTCCGGACACGGCCCCGGCCCCCAGCTCTCCCACTAAACCGAGTCCCACCCCTACCCGTGGCTCCCTTGCGAACCACCCTCGGCGTCACAGAACGAGGCGGGATCCGATGCTGGCCACGCCTCTCAATAAGACTGCATACCACCGAGGTCTCCTTACGCCAGGAAAAAGGACCTGAAAAAGCAAGTTGCACTTATGGTATGGGTGGTACAGAGAAAGAAGAGAACTTGAGTTTAGGAGGCGATTACCTCTGGGAACCTCAGACAACCTGAGCCTGCGTGCCGTGGGTGCGGGGCGCCACGATTCGGTGCGGGGAGGGGGCGGGCGGAGGGATCTCAGAGCGAGGTTTGCGAGTAGACGGCGGAGACGGCAGGGCGCTCGATGATTGCACCGAGCGCTCGTGAGGTGATCTCAGCATACATCACGTCAGCTGGGCGGGTGGCCTGGGCGCCGCCCCTCGCCCGGGCTCGCGGGTCTGCTGCACCTGATCCTGCTTAGGGCCGGGGTGCGGAAGCCTCTGAGAGACCGCCCACGGAGTCAGGAAAAGGGGAATTTTGAAAGACTGCTTCTGCACACCGAAGGGTGGGACGATGAGGTCAGTCCCACGCCACCCCAGTTAAAACCAGTCTGACAGGTATTAATATACGGCATAAAGGTAACAAATCTTGGTTGTCTGGATTATCCAGAAACAGGTTTCCGAAATAAATCTGTGTTATAGGCCGTCGCGACCTGTCTGAGGCAACCTGCCCCAAGAACTCCACTTTTGCCTGTTGAACCGCCAGAGATTTAAAGCGGGAGTTCAGTCTTACAGCTACCGTCATACTGCTGCACCCACTCCTGTGGTTTCAAATAAGCATATATATAATGACTACCAAATTTAATTTTTTTATATTATTCTCACGAGCTCCTGACCGTATTTAGGTATTTATTCAGTCAACATTAAGAGCTAGGCACTGGGGATACAGCAGCGAATGAGAAAACTGCAGGGCTTTCAGGGAAGGAGCAGAAATATTTAATTGCCTGGTCAACACCTCTAGAGACCTCACATTCATCTCATTGTCAATAAATCCAAAACTGAATTTATTATCTCCTCCCACCCGGCTGTCAACCTGCCCCTCCTGTAATGCATATGTAGGAAGGGCATCGCTATCTACCCCATTGCCCTCCTCCTTCATTCTTCATAGTTAATCGCTACATCCTATAATTCCACCACCTTGAAAGTTTCTCCACTCACCTTAGGTCTCCATTCCACTGACCTTAGGTCAGGCCTCATCATTGCTTGTCTGCATTGCAAAAGTACTCTACGAGGTCTCTGCTTCCATGCTGGTCTTTAATGAGTCATCCCCCAGTGTTGCCATTTCTTGTATCTCTAAAGCTATGTTGTAATCATCTCTATAGGTTTCCTCTGTTAAAAGATAAACGTGAGAATAGGGATCATGCCTTAATTGTTTTTATATTCTGAGTTTATCCTAATACCTACCATAGCAGTTCTCAAACTGTGGTCCATGGCCCTCTGGGTATCCCCAAGACATGTTCAGAGTATCTGCAAAGTCAAAGCTCCTTATAATAATACTGTTATTTGCATTTTAACTGCTGGAATTTGCACTGATAGTAAAATCAATACTAAATAAAGCTTCTCCGGCCTTAGCACAAATCAAAGCAGGGGCACCAGACTGAGTCATTCATTATTCCTCACTGCCATGCACTTGCAATTAAAAAAAAAAAAAAAATATCTATTTCACTTAAGAATGTCCTTGATGAAATAGTGAACGTTAATTTTATTAAAGTTCAACCACTGAGGACATGTATTTAGCTACTTCTTTCATGGAATAACATTTTTGCTTGAAAGAATGACTGCCGAGTGCCATTCAGATTTGGGTATTTGACAGACATTTTCTTGAAAATTAAATCGGCCTGTTTGTGCTTTTAAAGAAATTCATTGGCAATATTTGTTGTCAATGATAAAATATTAAATGTTTCAAATAAAAAGTAAGAATTTTAGAAAACAATCTACTACTATCAACTTGACAATTTACTAATTCTTGAGACTTTTCTGCAGAGGAAAATTTAGTAACAAATGGATTTTGTATACGATGTGTCAACATTAGAATCTTTGCGTAATTCATTAAACCAGTATTTTCAGATGCCCAGTGCATGATGTTACAAAATCATGCCTGGGTAAAACATTCATTCAAACTACAAGCCAAAACAATAGATTTCATGTAATATAAAAAGTTCATTGAGGGGCGCCTGGGTGGCGCAGTCGGTTAAGCGTCCGACTTCAGCCAGGTCACGATCTCGCGGTCCGGGAGTTCGAGCCCCGCGTCGGGCTCTGGGCTGATGGCTCAGAGCCTGGAGCCTGTTTCCGATTCTGTGTCTCCCTCTCTCT